TTTATAATTAATATTTATTATTTATGAATTAGAATGAAAAAATTTTAGATATAGTAAAAATTCAAAATAATATCTTTATAAACAAAAAGTTAAAGAAATAAAGTTCTCATATTTCTTTGCTAATCTTATATTATCAGAATGAAAATTTAGAATAAAAAGAAAATAAATATATTTTAAGAATTAAAGAAGCCAAAGATAATTTTTATTGATCTGAAATTAGATTAATTTAGTTAAACGTAAAATTAATTTGATAATGAAGATAATAATCATTTATTAAAAATAATATAAAATTTTATATAGCTAAAAGAAATATATATCCTGCTAATGATAAGACTATAAAATGAAGTTTAGAATATCTTTTTAAAGAAAATATTAAAACACTAACTTTTTTAAAAATAGATCCAAATTGTAATAATTTAACATAACAGTTTATAGTAATATTCATAAATTAATTTTACTTTTTAGAATAAAGTAATAAAAAGTAAAAAATTATTAATTGCTTTTTTTCAAATTATGAGCGTAAAATTCAATAAATTTAAATTTTGAACAATATATTATTAATAAAAAAATTAATCAAAAATATATTAAAAATAAATAAATTAAAGATTTATATTAGAATTAATTATATAAAATAATTTATATAAATTCACTGAGTTTAAATATCTTAAAATATTTATCTTTAAATTTCTAATTATTGCTTTATTATTATATAGTTAAGTAATTTGTATATTAAAAGTTAATTTATTTATTTTTAAAAAATATGATTAAATTACATAATAAAATATCATGTGATTTGAAAAATTCATGTTTTTTTCAAAAATTTTTTTATTATATATATAAATTTATATACAATATTGACTAAATGATAACAAATGATATGTCATTTGAATCATTTATCATTTTAAGTTATTTGTATAATACTATTATTGACATTACATTAATTATCTAAAAAGCAGATTTTTTAAGAAAAAAAAAATTTTCTGTTATTCAAAGACCTAGAAATCTAATTTACATTAATAAAATTACACTAAAATTTTTTTTATACTGACATAAATTATCCTTTATTATAGTATATTAATAATTAGTAAATATTAAAATATTATATAAAAGTATTAATTTAAATTATAGGTTTTTTGAAACTTTTATATTATAATAGATTTATATTTGAAATTTTAAAAAATTAACATTAAATCAAATATTAATAATAATTTATCATAAGAGTAGTTTTACAAATTAATATATACTAGGAACTTAATTTTAATAAGTGATATCTAGCACTATACTATTACAAGACCAAATAATTGAATAGTAATTTATAATTGTTAAAAAAGTAATTTATTAAATAGTAAAATAATAATTACATAGGATAATATATATAGATTAAGGTACAGTAAATCATGTGATTAGGTATAATAGATGTTTGATGAACAAATATAGTTATAATAGATAAATAATATAATTATTCAAATATTGTAATTAACTGTATTTAGAATACAAAAGACAGAATACTAAAAAATAGGAATGGAAAATAGAAATATAGGTAGGAAAAATAGAAATACAGATGGCAAATATATACAGATAGAACTTTTGATGGTAAATATACAGAATTAGCCAGCTATACTATAACTATATTAATTATTATATTTAGCTTAGTATTATATGATATTTTCATATAAATATCTTAAGAATTTGAGATAGTTTTAGAAAATTATTAAGCTACGATTTAATTAATTAGAAATCTTTGTATTCATTATTTTCTTTTTTAGTTAATTCTAGTAATTAGTCACCTGAATATCCTGACTGAAGCTCATATGTTCTATATATTATTATTTTCAGAATCAAGCACCTCCTGACTACTTTTAAAGCTAGTCTAAACTGCTAAATCACTAGCCATTGTGATAATCTATATAAAGTAAATATTACATGATATTAATAATAATCTATTTACATCATTAAATAACTATGCTAATTAATGCTATCAATGATCAACATAAAACTATAATCACTATTTTCACGAATTTTACTGCTATCATGATTATCATTATAATATTTATTATAACAGTTATCATTATTTTTTTTATTATATTTATTATATTTATTTTCTTTATTATTATAATTATATTTATTTTTTTAATATATTTATTATCTTTCTCTATAATTGTATTTTATATAAATATCCTGTATTATCACCTTGATAAACTAACAAATTTCTATAATATAATTAATAAAGTATAATCTTAATAACATAAAAATTATATTTTTGCTAATATCTATTTTCTTAAAATATAAATTATCAATAAAGATGACCTGACCTTTCAACTTAAATAAAATTCGTGTTTATTTATTTTATAGTTTATAACTTAAACTTTCTGCTAACAAATAAGCTTTGTTATCCTAATAATATAATGTTTAGGTTTAATAAGTAATAATTTTTGCCAGGAGAATCTTTATTGAAGTTATACATAATGAACTGCTGAAAGACTAGCAAGAAGTATGAATTTTGAGAAACTTGAGAGAATTACATCAAAATATATAGTTAGACACTATATAGATAAACCCTTTAACCAAGATTATACTTGTAATTAGTGTTATCTACTCCTTCACTTGATACTCTTCCTATTAGCTTTAAAAATTTTTAGAACTAATTTAAATATAAATATTAAGTAAATACATTTACTTCTAGAATGATAGTTACTTTTAACCTATTTGAACAATTTCGCTAAATTTTTGCAATCCTCTTAGAGAATTTGCAAATTTTGCGATTCACCAAAAGTTCATATATAGTTGAACTGAACTTTTAGATTAATTTGAAATTATCAGTTCAGTTCAGATTTTTTTCAGTTCAGATTAGAATTATAATCTGAAAAAAATCCAAATTGAATCGAAAATTTTCAGATTGATTTTTATGCAATCTGAAACTGAACCAAACTGATTTGATCTGAAAAATCTTCAGATTAATCCAAATCATTCAGAGCTTTATCAGTTACAATAGTGAATAGTTTAGAGCTAAGGTAATAATAAAAATTTCTGATAGCTCAAACTACTGTTAAGCATTCTTGGTCTGTGATCAGATAATTCTGTTCAGTTTTATTCATGCTTTTACTTGCATAAGAAATAACATGTTTATTTTTATTATCATCCAATTGAGATAATACTACTCCTAGTCCTATTCCTGAAGCATCAGTGCAAAATATAAATTCCTTGATAAAGTCTAGATATTGAAGGATAGAAGATATAATCAACTTTTCTTTTAGTTTATCAAAAGATTTTGTTAGTTCTCAGTCCAATTATATGGAATATCCTTCTTTAGTAGCATAATTATAGATTTAGTAACTTGAGAAATCTCTTAACAAATTTACGATAGTATGAGAACAATCTAAGGGCTATTACTCTTAATTCAGTTCATTCTTGAGAGGCTAAAAGTTCTTTAATTTTTCTGATCTTTTTAGGATCAGGTTATAAACCACTTCTTCCTATGATATGTTCATGAAATAAAATATTTGGAAGGCAAAATTAACATATTTTCAATTTAATATTAAGTTTGCTTTTCTATTTACTTTAAATACCATTTGTAAGTGTTATAAATATTTCTTATAAGTTTTGAATAGATGATAATATACTTTAAATATACTGCTATAAACTTATAAAGGTATTCTTATAAGACAAAATTCATAAGACATTGGAATGTTCCAAAAGCATTTTTTAATCTAAAAGGTATTCTTTTGAATTTATAAAGATCATATTGACAGATAAAAGCAGTCATTTCATGATTACTCTCTTCCATTTCTACTTGCTAATATTTACTTGCAAAATTAAGTGTAGAAAACCAACTTGCATTTTTATTTTCTCAAGCAAGTCCTTTATAAGTGGGAGAGGGTAAGCATTTTCTTTAGTTATAGAATTAAGCTTCATAATTGATACAAATTCATGCATTTTAGATTTCTTTAATACAATAATAACTGGGAAAGTTCAAGAGCTTTTTGACTTTTGGATAATATCATTTTCTTCCATCCTTTTAATTTTATCTTAAAGAAATTTCAATTTTGCAGGATCCTTTAATTGATATGCAAAGCTGATAATTAGTTCATATTCTTCTGTAGGAATTTGATGTTGAAATAAAGTTATATGACTAATTTTCATTTGGCTTAGAATACAAATATCTCTATTTTTTTTGATAAATTGTTCAAAAAATTCTTGTTGATTAATATTTAAGGATTTAATATGCAAATCTTTTTAAATACTTCATCTATTATTTGGGATTTTGGTTGTTCATATTGAGTTAAGAATACTGCTTGATTGTTATTTTAAGGGTTAACAAATAGTTCTTTTTCATCAAAGTCGAATAGATTTTCTTTATCAGAGGTATTTTCTTTATTGTAAAAATAGAAAATATCTCTTTCATCAAGGTCCTCTTCTTTGTATCGATCATATGTTAAATCTTCAATCATATCGATTAATTCATCCATAGAGGTATCAGATTCTTTATCAAATTCAACAGAAAAACTATCATAGAAAGTAATTAGAACTGAAGCAGATTTTATAAGATATCTGAACTTCACTTTTCTTTTGTCAAAATTAAAAATAGCTTTAGTTCTCTTGAACCAATCTGTTCTTAATAATAAATTTTTATCAGGTAATTCAATAACTTGTAAAGTTATTGGCATTTAAATAGATCCAATCGTTATTTTAATAGTATTAATCTTTCTCAGAGCTCTTGCTTTTTTTTTATTTGCTGTATTGATAATAATTTTAAAAGGTTTATCAATTTTTAAATGAAGTTGCTTAATTAAACTACTCATAACAATACTAATAATTTTATCTGAGTTAAGAATAACTTGTATATTGCTGTGATTAATTTGAATAGTACATCTAACAGCAATTGTAGGCATATCATTATTGTTACTTATGTATTCATCATTAAGGTCAACATTATTAGTTTCCTTAATAATAGTTCATTTTAATGTATTAGCTAAATTTCTCTTTTGATCTGAATATTTTAACTATTGTCTCAGTTTTGCTGATAAGAGAAAATTGAAAATTTCTTCAGCAATATTATTAGAGGCTAGTTGGTCAACAGCAAATAAAGTATATAGTATTTTTCTTTGAGATTTCTTAACTTTTGGTATTGAAATCCCTTCTTGCATATCTATTAGAATGTTAAGAGAAATTGGTCTACATACATTCCTATTTCTTAATCTTATTTCTTGTTGAGATTCAGATATTTTTTTGCTTTTCTCTTTTGCGTCCCTCCTGTTAATAGTACATGATATGACCCTTACTCTTAGAGTAGCATAGATTTCCTCATAACTTTCCTCTTCATATTCTGAATCAAGACAGAATAAACTTCGATCATATTTGCATTCTTTTTCTTTTTGAGTAGTAAGTCACATTCTCTAAAGTAGTGATCTTTCTTTTAACAATTAAAACAAGTAATTTAATATTTATCTAGTTTTTAACCTGTAGTTTTAGGTCTCATTTGGATTTGAACATTCAAGGCTAAAATAATGTTAGCATAATTAAGAGTTAGCTTTTCTATTTGTTCCGTTAAGACTTCAAAAGTATTATCAGTAAGAGTTCTAACTTTTTGATCTACTTAATGTACCTGTCTTTTAGCTTGTCTTTCAAAATATATTTTAGCTTCATAGTCAATAGCTTCTTGAATTACTTCATTAATATTTGCAGGTTTACTAGTTGCAACATATCACATTAAATTATTTTTTAATTCCTTTAAGAATAATTTAATGATATAAGGTTCTGGTAAATTACTATCAGGATCTACCTTTTCCTTAATCTCTTAAATCTATTAGAGTACAATTCTACTTTTTCTTCCTTTCTTAAAGAATATCATTAAGTTCATAATACCATTTGTTTTATTATTCAATTGTAAAAAAATAGTTTACGAATTTAAGCACAAAGATCTCAGCGTCATTTTTATCATCTAGAACTCTCCAACCTTAAATAAATGTAGTATTCTCATACTAATCAGAAGCTATATGATTGAGGAATCCTCCAGTAATTTTGACTATTCTTTCATTAGTCTAGTTGTTAGCCTTCGTGACTTTCTCTAAATAGGCAATCCAATTAGATAGATCCTCTTCACTTTTTCTTGAGAAGTATTTTATTGAGACTAAATTAGTTTTTCTAACAGGTGGTCATTGTATTAGTCTGTTTTGAACCTCCTGAGTAAGTTGATCAATAGAGTTTATAAGTTAAATAATGAAGGTATTAAATTGATCTGTATCTATTATATTTCTTCTTAAGGGTTTTAATGAGAGAGGTATTAAAGGTTATAATTCTATCATTATAGAACATTCAAAGTTGACTGAATAATAAGATTCTTCTAATATATAAAATAGTAATGAAGTCAAAATTAAATCTAAAATCAAAAGGGTTGACTAAGGTTAAGCTATATAACAATAATTTGGCTTTTCTTTTAAGAATTTTAATGAGTTGTGATTTACTAAAATATTATCGATACTAATCAAATAAAATTACTATTTTTTCAGTATATACAAGAGCATCAAATTCAGTACTAATCTAATTTCAAAAATGTTTGAATAATAAAGATACTTCTTCTGAAGGTAAATAACAAATTATACAAGTGTAGTCAGTTAATAGGTAACTTTTATTTTCAGAGTATTGTTGAATATAATTTTATTATAATATAAGATAGAGATTAAAATTCATCCACTAAAAGCTAGAAGTCATGGCAGAAATCACCACTATTGTTGATTTAGTATCTGTAAACTTAAATGATAAACTTTTAACTTATTCTATCAAATTAAATATAAGGTAATATTACAATCACGCTGTTACATTGGTTTTCGTAGCTTCAAATAAAATCTCAAAGGGTAAATAAAACTAAGACAATTACTCAAGGAATCACGGGTAAGGATTTACAATAACGTCGAAGAATTATTCTCAATAATAAACACGTGATGATAAACTCAAAATAAATACAAAGATAACTCAAAG